AGATGACCGTTCCTTTTAGTAAATATCGTTAAACTAGTCGTATTCATTGTATTATCACACCAGCTGACTGTGAAAACAACGTATATCACTCTGAAATTAAATAAACGTATATTGCTGAGATTCTACGTCGACAGAATCTTGCGACAAAATGAACGAACGTATGTTTACAGTTTAACCAATACTTTGAGTTTTATGGTCCACGTTCATATACTCTTGAAATGAAATGATCTCGTGTTTACAAGTTAAACGAATATACCAGTTGCCGCATCACTATATTAAATATAACATTGTATGCACAACAATCTTACCATCACGCGATATCCCGGTACGGCTGTTATATTCTCTTCTCATCACCCACGGGAAATGTGAATAATTCGTTTAGCAAGCTGGAAATAACATTTTTAATTTCTTAACAGAATCACCATTTTAATTATAAAATAAACAAGGGACATATTACAATTCATTAAGTTAGGAGAGCATTTCATTATTAACAGTATACTACTGCAGCAATGTTTGGCCTTCCAGAAGAAAAACTACATGTGGCATGTTTAGTACAAACCCTCTCAATGACACAGTTCACCACCCTCTCCTTCAACAGCCACGGAAAATAAACTTCCCGGGATTTCAACCATTAGGAGCGTTTCGGTAAAAGAAAACATTGCACAGCATACAAATTCAGCATTTGTAAACCAGTAAAATAGCAAAACAGAAATGCTCAGCGATGCAAAAGGAGGATATATATCACTTTTCAGTATGCATATCTCTTTTGACACAACCCCTCACATATTCCAGTCCCAATTATTCCTGTGTAAGATAGAATAGCCTCAATCCACGTAAATATTCTGTGTAAAATCACGTGATGGGCTGTTAAAATTGGCTGACACACTCTTTTTCCGGCCTGGAAAATGTGTTTAATTAGCTCATATTCAAGCAACAATGCAGATTTCCCAGTAGGAGTGAAACTGGCTTGACTCAGCCATTAAACCATTAGGGGTCTTTTCATCAAAATACAAATAGCCTTCGAGTGCATACAATACACTGAAAATCGGAACAAATCTCGCATTAGTTACAGCAGCAGAATACCACAGCAATATCAGACGAAGCATTTAAACACAACATAAAATTGTATTTCGACCTGAACCCTGAAAACAAACTCTTAACACCACGCTGAAGCGTTTGGTGATAACGTTACAGCCAATCGTTTAAAATATATTATTCATTCACGCGTTGTATAGAATTGATCACTTATAACAATCTTGATTATCATGTTAAAGGCCTGAGCAATAATGTTTGAGACGATGTATCTTTTTGTATTTTTTTAATTTAAAATGTAAAAAGATTTCCCAAAATTACTTTAACGTGGAGAGTAAAAATGGTGGTAAATTGGCACGGCCGAGATGAATAATTGTCACACCAGAAAGACATATACCCCAAAGATTACAGGTAATAATTGTTTGGTCATCTGCGAATTTGCGAGTGCACTTATCAAATTCGAGTGATTCGAATGCACCTGGTCTGAGCGGTTATTACAGCAGCGCAGCGTACAACAATTTGGTACAACAAAGTTTAATAACGCCGCTGCCGACTCAGTTGCGCGTTTGTTTACGCATTCATATTGTGCCTTCATTTGTGTTGTGTTACCAGCAATTAATGTTGTACAAGTCAAAGATCGTTATTGTTTTGTCTTTGCATCTGTATTGATAATATTGTTTTTAACACTGGAAAAAAAAAACATGTGATGTTGGGTGGCTTACTTAGTTGGCTCAATTGCGTGTCACCCCTGTAGTAAGAATTGTGTTGGCTATCCAATCAGGGCCTATAATTGATAATGTTATTGATAATGATCAATTTCTTAGTTTCTGAAGTCGTGTACTATCTGAGTGTAAATACACAAACGTAAATGCACTAAACTGAATTAAATTAAATATGTATTTACATGCATCGGCGTCAACATATCTACAAGACTAGGTACAGGTTGTTGTTATGTTGTTGATTACTGAGCATTTAAAAGCTGAATATTCAATGACGGACAACAACAGTTTGTGACCTGTTTCTGGCGAGGCGAACTCTGGCGACTGCTTCAGTAACAGTTGTAGTTAAATTGAAGGCACATTCATAACATATAAAAGAACACTCAGTAAATTATCAGTTCTTGAATGGTATCAGTTCTCTAACACTGTTGTGTTTTAAGTTGCATATAGTCCAAACTGATCATCAGTGTAAAAAAATTCGAACATGTGTTCCAACTTATCGCATGCATACATACGTTCAATATTTGTCGTCTTGTGTTTTGCACAAAAATATATATCAGAATGTGCAACAAGCTACTCTATTCATCAATTTCACTGCCTTATTTACAAGCCCAGATGAAGGTTGATAAACTTTATTGTGTAAAGTGTTTGTTTTTTTAGCGGCGCGTAGCATAATAGTGTATGCCAGTATATGGGACAGTACGGACTTATACCACACTATTACACATTATCACTAATACAGTATATTATGTATGACTATGTAACTTGTAAGTGTTGGCTTAATTAGATATTATGTGATTACAATTTGGAAATTTCGGACTGACATCTTTGGAAAACACTTCTATACTCTGAATAGTCCAAGAACACGGACCTGAAAAATGTACGATTGTGTGCAATTGGTGTACATTGAGTACTTCTCTCATGTCTGGTCACTGTATGAGAAATACTTATTAGCGAAACCTGAATGAGTCAAATATTTATGAATTTGTCAAATATTTATGATACAAGTTCAAATATATGTACATCTATTTATACAAAAATTTTAAAATCCCTACACTAGAATCCCGTAAAAATGTGTTCGAACCGTTATTTTGATTCAAACTTGTTAATAACATATACGGCTCATCATATATTTCTTTATTTTCCTGAACAGATGAAATGTAAATTTTGGTTTTTGATTAGATTAGGCTTGATATATGAAAGTACATATATTTGGGGTAGAACAATTATTTATATAGACTATTTAATATTTGCTGCTAACATATCCATATAAATAGGCGCCTTTCTAATGCTATACTGTCGAAACCACTAATAAAATATTCTATGAGTGTTTTTTTATAGACCACGTGATATCAAAAATTACAACAACCGTTCCTAGTGTTTAGTGTTGAGAAGAAACCACCATCACGATATTTAAAAAAAGGAATGATGTGATAAACATTCTGCACATTGAGCTGTCTGGAATACGAAGATGATATGAATGTTCTTGTTTATTTCTTGGTTATAATTGTATTGATTATTATTAATAATATTATTAATATTAATAGGCACAATTCACCAACAGTGTAAGTATTGACCATCTTGAACCATTCTACGTCTCTGTACAAGTGGCGGCATTGATAAGCGTAGCATGCTACGCACGTCAAGATGATACCAGTAACTCCAGAAGCATTTAGCTATCTGGGCAAGTTGTAAAATAGTGTATAGTTATTCATATCCACGAATACTGTCTCTCATTATTTGCGAGACAAATTTGGGAATTAAATGCTTGTATCTTCTAAAATATCTTTTAAAAGTTCTAACAAGCACTGATTGTGAGTATCCTTGCTTCATCAGCTATGAAGCAATTGAGTTTGTCGTACCCGAAAATCGTCGTACAACACATAAATAAGCTCTAGAATATCTAAGAAGCTGTGAGATATAGATTAAGTTCATGAACATGTAACTTCCTTATGTGACTTTTATTTACTAATTTATGGTTGGTTTGTTTATTCCACTCTCCAACAACAAATTTAATGCCATGATTTTGCATGGTGTATGCCGTGTTATACTGTACTCATGCTTAGATATTTTGTGTAATCTTCGGTAATTTTGCAAGGCTAAACATTACTTTTCAATTTTGTTATTTATAGAAATTAGGTCACCTCGTGGTGGGAAAATTCATACAAAACTTGTCAAATCCGATTCCTATCCAAATTGCTCTACCAGAGATATACATTTCTTATCTGGCGTAGATGGCGTTATTTCGTATGTATGCGGACGGAGTCTGTGTTACCAGCCATAGTTATGGCCTAAGACGCCAATGCACTGTACTACAATGGTTTTTACGTGGTACAAAGAGGTCGACTCGAACTTTCTCCGTCTCTGTGGAGTTTGCAATTGAATCCGTCTGAAATTGTTTTGATTTTTTCAATGCATTTGCGCGCCCCAAATCACTACGCTTGAATATGATTTTCGGTTGTTTTAATTACGAAACCAGTGACTCTGTGCGAGTGCATATACAAGTCAAACGAGGGTAATGAATTGTTCACAGTTGGTTCACCTATGAATGGGTTGACAATGCGTGTAGAAACGCACTGTGTAAATAGAACTCATTGACCTATAAAGTCACATAGAATATTCGCAAGGTGAGTTGAAGGTTATTTGTGAGGACTGGTAACTGCGGATTTTACAGCCAATGTAAATAGCTTTTCATTTAATCGTAGGATTGTAATGTGCAGAAAGGTAAGTTTACAGAGCACAGTAGTATCTGTAGATGCTGCGATCGTATATTAGATGGTGACATAACTAGTAGTATTGGTCAGTATTGTATGTTTTTGGTGTTGTGGCGGGTTGTCGCAAATTTGGCACTATACGTTTATTTGATTTCAGAACAAAAGGTCACGCGATATATGTGATAATCCAATAAATACGACTAGTTTGGCGATATTTACTGAAAGGAACGGTCATCTTTAATCCGACTAGGTTTCAAGTTTTCCTAGTCAAACGATATGTACATTAATGATCCCCTTAACGACATTCGAAATGAAATAATTCCTTGCATACGAGCATTCATTAGGAACAAGATCATAGAGCCCATTTCCCAAGGCTTTTGAAAATATCATCGTGATCCAATTAAAAGCCAAACAGCGTCAGTTTTACATTTGAACAAAAATGTTTTCTCCTCACCATGAACGACCAGTCTTATCTTCCATTCACTATGTTTGTAGAATATACTATTTATTTTGTTTTCAGATTTAAATCAGAATCATGATAACTTATAACCTGCATCATATCTTTGAAATTCTCAACACTCCAACTAATGTTATGTTACTGTTGTTGGTGTTTATCATAACATATGGATTGTTCAGTTTACGCAAACCATCTGGGTTTCCACCTGGACCAATGGGATACCCGTTTATTGGCTCTATGGTAGGTGAGTATATCCCAAGTAATCATAGCATACTGATATTCATATAAAATACACAAGTTTTTGTGATCGGAATTCGTGCTTAAGTTTGAGGGCCACCTACCGGCTGAAGTTGTGTAACCTAATGATGTTTTCCTTCTGCTTCAACATTGAGATTCGATTGCGTTTGTTCCACTTTTGAACACCAACATACGAATTTTTACTGACACTGTCATATGTATAATAATATAACTATAAAAATTTATATTCAATGCATGCTCCAAGCGCTTTAATCACATTCATTAGATTTGTTGAAAGAACCCCACCTAACGCTGATGAAATATGGTATAAAATATGGCGATATATTTACAATCAAGATTGGCAGTCAGCCTGTGATTGTACTCAACTCCCTAGATGTTATTAAAGAAGCATTGGTGAAGAAACAAAATGATTTTGCTGGGAGGCCATATTTTTATACATGTAAGTCAACTTTTAACACTTTGATACGTTATATTCACAAGACAAACAACGGTTTAAAATTGAGATGTGTAAAATCATCCCCATTATTTGAACTGAAGAATACTAGTACCCTAAACGTCCTTTCGGTACCCGTAATTTTAAACTGATTTTGGCAAAATAAATTTGACCTTTGTACGAACGGTGACCAGTAGGGTTGTCAAAAACTAAATAAACAAATTAGTTGACCGTCTTGGGTAAAGTTCACCATTCCAGATTTATGTGTATGCTCATATGAGACACTAACTAACGTGATTCGTTTTAATACAACAACCTATGCTTTAGCTATTTTTTTCATTCCTAGTAGTTACCAAAGCGATTATATCGACATACATAAAAGTAAATAATTATACAACGTGAGTGGTTAATAACATACTATAGGTACGATTATTAAATTGACGTCACAAATAAATTAGCATAAAGTGTCATACATTTCTTCACGTTTTCTGTAATCGTACGAGTAATGACGACGTCACGAATAAATTATGACGTTACATCCGGTATGACATCATTTCCGGTTCAGTGACCCTTTTTTATCGTACTGGTAATTACAGCGTCGCAAATTATTTATTGCGCCACCCTGGCATGAATGTTATGATGAACAATAGAGGGCGCTCTTTCTCACACACACGCACATACATCCACTCTGAGTACGTTAATAAATATGCGGTGTTTTTGCATACTAACTAACTAGTTAGTTGATAAAACAGTATAAATTTATAGCGTTATAGGTTAAGTATTTTTTCAACGCCACGAAGTACGATATGAGTAAGAAACACTTCGATTAAAAACATAGAAGAGAGAAACACTGATAAATAAAAAATAATGTTGCATACAAATATTTTGTTAATTTTGTTAATTTTGTTTATTTGTTTCTTTCTTTCGTCCAATGAGTACATTTTTTTCATTCAGTTACTTTTTGCACACTTTTTTTCTAATCAGAATCTAAATCTGTATCGTTATCTGTCGTAAAAAAAGACAGTGATATAAATTGAGTATACGTTATATCTTTGTTCTTGTTTGAAATGTCGAAGTATAAATCACCCAGTAAAACTTTGTGGGAAAAATACCTGTCAAAAAGCGGTAGATTGAGTCTGGTGAAGTTCTTAAAATATCTGTTCACATAAACATCGTTTAAATGTCTATTATACGTAAAAGAGTCAACTATGTAGTGCATGGGTTTACCTTGATATCTGCACAACAAATAATACACAATGTATTGACCACACACTGTAGAGAATGGTGCTTGACAAATGCGATGTAGATCCACGTACGAACGTTTTGTTCGAAAAATCTCTTAAATTGTGTGCAGTGGGCGGACTACTGTCAGGGGGAAATTCTCGTCTCTCTCTATATCTCATCTGCTTGAGGTACCGGACCGGGAAAGTCACTTAAGCTTTACAGTCAAATAGACGCACACAACGAAATACGTTTCAATAGCTAGTCTTCAGCCACATCGAGAACGCCTCGAGGCAAACTACCTTGTCGGAGTCTCTACCCAGGACTGACCAAGACTCTCTCGCCTCGTGGAGCTCTCTCCGTCTCCCTGTGACCGAGGACTTAGATATTTATTACGTATCAAAACTTAACCAATTACAGAGAAGTTTAAAGACTCTAAGGTGTGGCCTTCAATCATACAGCCAATCACACTAAGTACTGAACACGTCATATCTTTTGATTAATCGTTCACTATATTACTAACTGCAAATTCAAACTGTCAGAAATAGCGGTCCGGATGGTGACGGTTATATCGTAATTAGTTCCAAATCACTGAGTCAAATTCTGTCCAGGATCTCGCATGAGCCTAAATGATGACAGATATAACACAGCCATTCACTAGTAATCAGCTAAATAAGTAAGTCAACAACGCAAAAACTAATTCATGACACTACCATACGTGTACGGATTAGTCGACAGAATACGATCTTTAACTTCGGTGTAATTTTAGCCTGTTTTCCATGCCGTTGAGTAAATACTTCATTTAAAATATTATGTATTCAGTGTATTCGCCCGATCATGTCGACCG